ATACAGTATATTTACACAAAGTCGCGCTAGGTAAATTTATGTGTGTGTACACACACACACACACATACACACACGTGTATATATATGTGTATATATATACACACCACACATACACATATATCATATTATCTTACTATTCTTAAGGCTAATTTAGCTTGCTGCACACACATGATGTGGTCCATGTGACATATGAAGACACTAGGTGGTCAGTCGCTGTCCGAGCCCACTGGATTGATCTTTTTCCTTTTCTTCGCTTGCTTTGGATTCACGATTTCTTCTTCCTATAAAAATTATTTACTATCGTATATTCAATAACATCTAATCATGTAATATACAGTAAAGCACAGTAATAGTAGTATGTATATATATGTTTATATACACATGTATATATATATGTACATCCCCCCACACACACACGTATATATAAATATGTATATATAAATAAAAATGAATTTATATGAGTGACACAGCTCCATGTGAGAGCCATTAACTCATAATCCACAGGTTTTGAGTTCAATACCAAGCCTTAACTCATATATGCTTTTATTTACAAAAGGTTGAAAATGAGACAATGGAGAATGAAATCTTAGGTTGAATATATGAGTATAAAGACGCAGTAGCAATTTATTTCAGGAGTAGAATTTATATTGTAAAAAAAGTAGTATATATCATATGTATCAACATACATTATATAACTCACCTCGCTACTAGAAGTACTATTAATATGATGCCGTGGAGGCGGTCTTTTCATGTTGGATCTTTCTCTCGTATTAGCACCGGTTTTTCTGTGACCGCCCTTACCACTGCCTCCCCCTCCTCCAGAGGAAGCAGTAATGTGTTTTCTCGCAGAACTACTCGGTGGGGGCGGTTCATTTTCCTCATTGACTTCGGCAAGCGCAAAGAGGTCACCGTAGCTCTTCCGCAGCGAGTCGCTACTTGCCGCTTGCGCTTGCTGTAATGCCCTTTGCATCCCTTCGGAATGGTACAGCTGTAGTTCCGCGGAGGACATGCAATGTTGACGTAATTGATCCAAATGGCCAAGAACCTGTTCGCCGGTAGGCGGACCGGATTGTTGATTTTGCTTAGCTCCAGAACGTTTCCGTTTGTTCGGGCTGGTCGCGGGATAACGGGTGCTAAGTAGATTTGCGAGCAACTCGCCGAGTTTTTCTTCATAATCGCGACACCAATATCGTAATGCGGCCACGACAAACATGTCGCCGTCGACGCTCTGCCGCGCAAGTAGTTGTCGTAAAAGATCCAATGTAGGCCTACAACGTATTAATCGAATATAAAGATATATATCAGATTATTTGATATTTGCGCATAGATTTCTTGATAATTAGCAATTATTTTACTCACTTCTCCTGTTTAAGCATAAACAAGATTGAAGTAAGCGCCTCCGCGTGATTACGAAACTGCAGTTTCGGTAAAACCGGCAGTATGTAATCGATGGGAAAATCGTGCGCGAATATGAGCTGCCAGAAACAGTATTGCTCGAATGTTTCCCAGTTTAAGCTAGCTGTTAATAGCGTGGTAAACGATTCCTTCTTTAACATCTTTAGATGCCCTTGCATTATCTGACAAACTAGATCCTGCAACTGGCACGAGTCCACAGTAGACACGACCAGATGCAACAATTGAACATTTCCGAGGGCAACGTTTTGAAATCCTGTATATACGTCAGGCACGAGATAGCATAACATAAATATGTTATCTTCGTGGCAGAGCTGGAAAAGCAAACAGCGTATTACGATATATCGTTCTTCGAATAAGCGATGATAAATAATTTACTTATATGAAATTCATTCACCTTTAAATCCGATACCAAACAGACGTCTAACTTTTTTTCTCGCTGCGCACAAAAGTCCTTGTACACCGACGCTTTGACATCATTCAAAACATTGCTGAAATAGAAAAGTTCAATGAGCGAAATATTTCTCTTTTTTACTTTTTGTCTTTTTGACTTTTCAACTAACCTCGGCTCGCCTTCTCTCTTTTCTTCTTCCCTGCCCCAGACTTTTAAGAAATAAAGAAGGAGATAACCAATTCTCGGTTGAATCGACTGCATTTCCGCCAATACTCTGGCCAAAAGTTTCCGCCTATTGTCCTCTTCTTTACATAATTGAAATTGATTTCGAAACATAACAAATAACGGCGTGCTTATGCTATCGACAAGCGCTTCCTCGTTCAGATTATCTGATGGAAAGATTTGCGCCGTGATCTGCGGCGATAAGATGATTGATATGCAAGATGCTAATGCGGGTATCGTCTCGGCATCTATCTCGTCTTCCACAACCATTTGTACTATCCTTTCCATCGCTTGACATCTTGACTCATTATCGGTCTCCGTGTGCAATGTCTCTATGCTGGTTCTCAGCTCTTCCGGTTCCATTATGAGACGCAAATGCGACGTGATGTCCTCCTTCTTTACGACGCAGTTCGCGTTTTTTTGATCGTTTTTCAATTTTACCGTGGACAACGGTACATCTTCCTCATCTTCCTCGTCTTCCACTTTCGTCACTATTCTAAAATACAAATAAATTCGTAAAATTAAGTATCCGAAGTATAGAAGTATAGAATTAAATATACGATTAATTTAATCTTTTCGATATCGAAAAAATTTCTACGTATTGCAATATCATATAATTATAACCTAAGAGGAGATTCCTCTTCTTCGTCGCTAAACGCTGGTTCCGGATCTTGTGCCACATGGTTATTCTCCACGGTAGAATTTGTGATATTCTCTATTACAGTCCCTGGATTGTGCTCCTTGTTAAGTTCTTCCATTTTACCTGAATATTTCAGAACCTTATTACCTGCTTAAGGACACGATGTAAAAAGTTAGTAAGCAATAAATGTGCTGAAAGCTGAAAGTAGTGAATCGTCAGATTTATCGCGGTAAAATTTTGGAATAAATATATTCTAGATATAAATATATTAAGATGTACAATCATACCAAAAATTTCTTTCAACTTCTTTCTTTTTCTCTTTCTTACAAGAAACCTGTTTTTCTTAACTGAACTTCTTGCACATTCTTGCACTTTTCAATTTTTTTTTCAAGTATAGAAAGAGAAAGAAGAAATGCACTAAATGTGCAAAAAGCAGTTAAAAGGAACAGATTTAAGGTTTCAATAATTTTCAATTTTTAATATTTTAATTAACGAATATTAGCATCGCAAACACAAATCACAGAACACACGATTTCCTAATAAAGTTTTATTTGGAAGTTTCCATCTGGAAATACATGATGGAAAACAAAAATGAAAAATGGATGTTCCGTCTTTACCAACCGAGAAAATTTTGGTAACTATATAATTGTATATCATCAAAAATTCTGCTTTGTTGCTTTATTAGATAATACAACAAAACTAAAACATAGATAAAACAAAAAATGACATATTCTTTATTTTATTTAATATTGTAAATATTTTATTTAATTTTGTAATTTTTTTAAATGTAGAGTAAAAATATTTTTTTGAAATATTTTTACTCTACATTTAAAAAAATTACAAAATTTTCTCGTGAAATCGTCACGTTTGATTTAGAATAGATTGATTTAGAATAAATAGTATTAAAGATACGTTCGGAAACACCAAATGATTTCGTGTATCATTTTATTCTAATGATGCTTCCGAACGTAGTCTGACTAAATTCACGAAGAGAATCTTTTATTCAAGGAGAGAACCTGAAATGGATACGTTTTTGAAATGCGATTTGTGGCAATAAGTAATTCTCATATAAGAATTCTTAATAATAATGTAAAGAACTATTTTTTGCAACAAATCACATTTTGAAAATTATACAATTAAAAGTAATTGCCTTCTCCGTTTTGTTATTTTTCAAAGCATATTTGCAATTACTTTCTCCTTGCGAATTTGGTTAATCAAATTTGTTCTTTTCAACTGAACTTCTTGCATCTCTATATTGAAGAAAAAAAAGAAAAAAAATGATAGTGCAAGAAGTTCAAATGAAAAGAATACTTATTTACTCCAGATCTCCTCCCCCTCCCCTCTCTGTTAAACACGTGTCTAAACGTCACGAGAAAATACCTGCGAATGTAAAAAAAAAATATTTTTGTACTTTAATATAAAATATTTAAAATATTAAATATAAATAAAATGTTTATAACATTAAATAGAAAAAAGCATCTCTTTTTTTGTTTTGTATATTATAAGACAGTAAAGCAGAATTTTTCATGATGTAAAAAGATATTTCCATTTCAAGATACATATGCAATATTCGAAATGGATTTTGAATTTTTAAATTATTTACGAGATTTTTAGGATTCTTTTTTTTTGGAAAAACAAAATAAATTCCGAACGGAATCCATTTCGAATAGTTTCATAATGTCCTCCTGGTCCTTTTCTTGTCAACAGAACACAACAACTTATGTTTTGCAACTATTTTCTGTGAGATAAGATTATTTTTTCAGATTTGAAAGTATAATCCAATTATAAACAGGAAATCATAAGCAATTACGTTCTGCTGAATACAGCCATTAATGATTCCTAGCGTTTAAAATTCTCGGAAATAATTGGAAACAATGGAATTAGGACGTGTGTTCATTAGGTTAGAACTCTTGAAATTCTCAAATCAAATTTTGGATAAAGATTTTTGCACTTAAAAAATTAAATTTATAAATTCAATTTTCTTGAAGTACAGTGCTTACTGTAATAAAGCGCAGTATATAAGAGTGCAGTGAGAAACGGTATGCAGTGTGCAGTACGAAAGTGAGAAACATAAAAACATAACATTAATCTTAATTTTATTAAATTGTCACGATGTCATCTGGTTATCTTATTAAAACTTTTTAAAATTTGTAATAATCATTTTCGTTTTAAAAAACGCATTAATGTAATTATTAATAGAAATATCTAATAGAAATATCTCGAATTTCAAGATTATTTAGTTGCAAATAATATAATATTAAAAAAAACGATTTAAACCATATAAAGAAAATTTTTTAGTATCAATTAAATTTAGACAAATTAAGAAAGAATTAGTTAACTTAAATTAATAATTAATTGTCTCCTCATCGCAGTTGTTTTTTTTTGAAAAATTAACTAATATTTATCGCTACCAATATAGAGAAACTTTAATCTCTATTTGATTTCTTACTTTTCTTTTTTAATTTTTCAAAATTAGAAAAACATAAAGAGTAAATAAAATTTAATTCTAGTTAATCTGCACTGGTAGAAATAAATGTAAAAATTAGATTAATATGAACTTAACATGAATAACATGAATATATACAATAATATGAAAATAGAAGACAAAATATATTTTTTTCGTTTAAAATTTCTAGACATCACACATAGTTGTTTGGCTACAAAAATACATACTTTAATAATTTATTTTCGAATTGAGAATTTAGATTTATATATATATATATTTAATATCAAGTACAAATTTACTCCTCTATCGTGTCTATCAAACTTTGATTCATCACACATTAATTCTTCGACTGACCAATCAGAAGAAAAAATTCTACCAATTAATCAGATTGCTTTCGTGTATTTGTAGTACCAAGTGGATTATACTGTGATTTAAACTTTAATTTTCAAGAGACGTTAAAGAGAGATGATACTATTATATACATTCCTTTTTTATGATATTCTATTATATTAATGCACTAAAAAAGCCCACGGCCAGCTTGTTAGAAAAAAATATATAGATATATACATTAATAATAATTTTACCAGGCTCAATATTCGGTGGTAAGCAAAACTCTTTGAAGGTTTCTCTTATCTTGCTTCTCAGTTCTCGGTCTAATTTTGGACTATCAAACAACGGATATAGACTAGGCAAAACGCGTTTTTCCAAAATTTGTCGCAACGATGAAAATATGCCGTTTCTCACTTTGTCCGTTAGTGCTGGATAAAAATTAGGTATTATCTGCAAAATAAAATCTTTGTAAAAGAAAAATCCCGACAAGTAAAAAAAAAAAATTACAATAATCGGTATATCTATAAATGTATCTATAAATGTAATAACTTACCCTGCATAAAAAATCTAAAAGTGTGGCAGTGACAGGTGGATGAGACCTCATTGAATTGTGCATAACGAGAATTGCCGGCTCAATATTCATAATGTTGTCCTTATCAGGTTCAAAAAACAACCAATCGTAGAACAGAGCCAACTTCGCGTTGCTGGCAGCCACAGTGGAAGTGCACGTTGTGAATAACCAGCCTATTACTGCCCATCGTGGAATAATGTCGGAGCATAACAGCTCGTTTGTGGGATGTATAACTCCCACAATAAAGCGGATAAGATCACACCTTAAGGACTGAGATTCAGGTGTTGCCAAATATTGCCTCTGAAACCAGTCCTGGTAACGCTTGTGATTGCCGAAACGGACGTTACTCGTCAGAAACACGAGTTTCCGTTCCATATCCGGCGTCAAACGAGACTGCAGGAATCTTCTGGAGGTTCTGGTTTGAAGCAACTGCAACACACCATTGAAATTCGAACAAAGGTTCTTCGGATTTAGTAATATATCCTTCCATAACGCTTCAAACTCCGGTATTCTCGCGACGTTTTGCAGTAAACGAACCAAATCCCTGAAAAATAAAATTAATTGACTTGGTCTGCCTGACATTCATTATTTGGATCCTTCCTTTAAATTGTGAGAACACGCACCTCCCAATAGCTAGGCAATCTGCCATCCGTTCTCTTATCAGAGATACTGTGAAAGTCACTTCCTTCTGTCGCAAACCAACCAGATGAGGCGCATTGTGGTCTTCTATTAATCGCAAATATGTATACACAATTGATGCTACTAAAAAAGGAAATTTGTCCAACCACGCTCGATTTTCTTGAAAAATATCTAAGAGGGCGTCAACTAGGAACAAGTTCCTCGAGGAAATATCCCCGCCTGCTGCATGCCTCAATAAACTTAAACAAAGATTATCCACATTAGTTACACTAGTCCTTATCATTTCCCTTAGCAACCACAGTAACTGACTCCTGGTGACGTCATTTAATCTCAAATATTTTTCGAGTACTAATTGATTGAGGTGAAGCAACACAATAGCCAAGCCATCTCGAGTAATCAATGTCAAGTCCCTATAACTCTTTGCGGCATTCTGTGGATCTGTCAAGATCACTACTAATAAACCCAAGGAAACCTCTTCGTGTGTCTTGTCCTTACACACAGCATTATTTAACGTATCGTGAACTTCTTTCTCTGAAAGTCCCGCCGTCAGATTTTGCAGCATCGAATGGCATCTCTCCAATTTCTGAAAACATATATATGATATCAGAATCTGTTGGAAAAAAAAATGCGTGAGGTAACGACTTCCAAACGTGTGCGTCGAGAAACATTCGATGTAGAATTCGAAAAAAATTACATCGCGTAAATGCAATCGGGTTTCCTTACGAAATGCAAAGAAAATACGAAGAAAAGAAAAACCCGGCAGACCTTCCCGTCGTGGGAACCCCCGAAAGAATCGAGGAAAGAGGGAGCGAAAAGGGGAGGATCGTCCGCGAGTTCGAATCTGGCGCGAAAAGGCGCGTTTTCGCATGTGGCGCCGCGAACTGGCCAACGTGCGCGATCGTTGCAACAATGGCGGAGGCCCTCGCACCCGATACGTACCCAGTGACTATTTCAAATATTTATGTTACCTCTTCCAGCTCGTCCTTGTTCTCGATGCAGCTTGTGTTGAGTAGCCGGGACGCCGGAGTCTTCGGCTGCTCCATCGCTCGCTGGCTGCGCCGCAGCCGGCCCGTGAACGTTACTCGAGGCCCCGTCGAGCCCTCAGCCCTCAGCCCTGTGCCCCTGGCCGCTTGTGCTCGCCTCCGTGCATCGTGATCGTCTTGCTGGCCTGCTCGTTCGCTCTGTCTCGCTCTCCTCTCTCTCCGTCTCTCTCGCGCTCCCCTGCCCGAACGTGCGGTTCGTCTCGCCTGCTCCCTCGCACTCCCTCTTTCTCGCTTTCTCCCACTACGTCTCCCTCCTCTCTCTCTCTCTCGCCCTCTTTCTCGCCCGCTCCCACCGCCGCCCGCTCCTCGCCGAAGCCTAGTGTCGTGCGCGGACCAGCCACCGTGTTTATTCCTTGTTTCTCGGCAGACCTCCCCGACTCGTCTACAGCTCCGATGCGATTGCGCATTGATAGATGCGCCCAGTCGCCGAGAGGTCCCGCTTCGTGTCTCGATGCCCCCATCAGTACACTCGGCGATCTCCGTTCACCAATCAACGCTCAGCAGCCCCGTACACATGATGCGTCTGGGTGGGGTACGACGGAAAAGTAGTGCGAGTCGCGGCAGTGCCGACCACACGCGAGGGCACATCGGGGGGGGGGCGACAGGACGAGACGCGCGTCTCCTGTCCGCGCTAAAATTTATAAAGAGCATCGGAACCTCAGGATCCCAATTTGGACGGACAACGAACTTCGATTGGCTCGATGACATTCATAATCGCGCGCACGAGATATCGAGATATTTCCATTCCTCATTAATTCTCTTCCTCATTAACTGTTTTCTTACTCAATTATCATGCAGTAATTCACTGATATGGCACTTCGCGTATATGCTAGCTTCTTTGCAATTTAAAATAAGTTAGACTCGCATGCCGCGTGCGCGACACTTTGATTCCCCGATGAATTAATTGAACGAACGAACGAACGAACGAACTTCGCGAAACGCCGAAGGGTTAATCTATCCCTTAACGCACCCTGCGACGGGTCCTCGGCAGATCCGCGCCGCCGTCGCGCGACTTTTTCGCCCTAGAAATTTTTTTCGCCGGGTTAATCACCCGGCGGACAGCGAAGCGAGTAACGGAAAGCGGTTACTTCATGGTGGATTACGTTTTGCCGCTTCGCGCCGCCGTAGCGCGAGGAGGCTTTGTGCGATTATCGCGGGCTGTATGTGTTACACGACGAACTTCATGAACTTCGTCCTTCGTTCGCCACGCGTTATTAATAAGTATACATCGGAGCGTTGTAATGAGGCGGCGCGGGAACTTTCGCGCGGCGACGAAGGAATGAGGAAACGGGAGGACAATGCAGCCGATAATTCGCGAATCATCGCGAAACATTCAAGAAAATCGTGTGCGCGAAGACGCGACGAGACGTTGGCGCGGAGTCAGCTCTCCCGAGGCTCCTCCGTCGCGGGGAAACTGTTGCGAGGAAAAACGTTAGACTCGCGAGGCCGATTGTTGATGAAGCATGACCGAATTCGGTTCTCCCGTATAACAGCCGAGAGACTTTCGTACTTGTAACGAAAATGGCCAGAGAAACCACCGTGCAATGGAACTCGTTTATCTCAATCATTTCCCAGCCCTTGAAGTTTGTCAACGGTGCTATTATTCAGATTTTCTGAAGCATCAAAAAAGAGCTTTACAAGGTAATGATAAAAATATAATAATAATAATAATTTTATTGAAAATGCGTTTATAAAAAATGCACATTTTGCTTTTTTTTGTAATATTACGTTTTTCTCGCTGAAAGTAAAAAAAATGGAAAAAAATATAAAAATACTGAAACTCGCTAGACTCGGGGGGTGCAAAGCATCCCGTTTTGTTGGCTCGGTAAAGTCGCCTGTGCGCTGCGGTGCGTCGCGCATGCGTGCGCGCATGCGCAGTCGTAGCGAGCGACAAGCTAGCAGCGGTAGCTTCTGACGCGCATCCCGGCTACGTTCTTCTTGTTTCGAGCGTCCTCGCAGAGTACTCGTCGTCGTGGTGCGTTCCGACTTCCTTCCGATGAGAGCATCCCGGCTCTCCCGGGACCGCCTGGGCTCGCGATCCCGTCGCGAGATCCAGCTTTCACGACGGAAGCGTGGCTTCGGAATCGCTCGTGGCGACGACGTGCGACGCGACACGCCTCCGAGTTCGCCGACACCCTAACCCTTCGGAGATAGATCGCGAGGGTCTTTCTCCCATCCTGAGGTGCTTTTTAAACTTTGGATTGTCGTCTGCGAGAAACGAGTTTCGAGACCGAGTCCTCGTCGCCATTTTTTCCACGCGACGCGCAACGCGACGTAAAAATGGAGCGAGTGTCACGAGACCCGTGCAACGTCGTGCCGCTGCTTTTTCGCGTAACCGCGCCGCCACCTCGTGATGTCGTGACGATTGCTTGCGACGATGCAAATTTCCTCCGGAGTCGCGTATATCACGCGTCGCATCGCATGTTCGTTATGTCGCGCGCGCGAGGTACGAACGTGAGAGAGCACTCGCAAGCCACCCGTGTAGTGACGTCATGATGCCGGAGCGTGGAAAACGTGACACGCCGCAGCTCCGATTTTCCGCTCGCCTCTCCGCCAGCTTCCTCCTCGTTCCCGTTCTCGGGAACGGAGTCCGACGTTCCGACCCGCGGTTCGGCCCGACGCGAACCTTTACGTCCGAAAACGTCGAAGAAGACGTCGTTTTGTCACCCGTAAATACTCTTGAAATCGAGGATTTTTGAGCTGCATTTACACTCGGAGCCCTCATGGAATTATCTCATCCTTGTTTGTCGAAATGTTAAACGAATGATGCTCACGAAAAGACTCACGATGCATTGAAAAAAAAAAATTGTACGAGCCTTCAATACCTGCGAGTTTCCTGTGTCGCACATCGTGTCGCCGATACGTTGTAACTTCCGATCATGAATTGTATCTTGTGAGGACGAGATATTTGCGAAGCTATTTCCGCGGATTGCATTATCATTCGAACGACTCTCGCATCATCGCTCGTAATAAAGGACATTCAGGCGCGCTTGTATGAGTGACGCGCACGCACGTCGTTCGGAGGTTCCGAGGGAAGTTGGCCGAACCAACCTCGAGTCCGTGATCGTGGTCACGTTTACCGCGAGCTACGAATGTAAAATGTAACTGAACCGGTGATTGAAGCGGACGGTACACGACGGAAGAGAACAGCCGTGCGAACGGGAAATACCGGAGTACGCCATTTTGTTCGTGCGGGAAACGCGCAAAGATTTAATATCGCGGCGAACGCCGAGTACGTGAAACTCGAGGAAAGTAGACTCTAAACGGGGGACGAGACGAGAGGGAGGGACGGGCAGGGGACGAGGGGGGGGGGTGTTCTCTGTTGCTTTGCGAAGTCGCTTAAAAGGTAGGGACGTCGAGAGGCGAGGGAGAGCGCTTATCTCACTCGTGAAAAACGAAGCTCGAAGCCCCGATCGCTGATTTATCTCTCTCGCTTTTATGAATATAACTTGACTATGTTTCGCACGAACTCGTGACTCGTCCGCGCATCGTTTTATACGGACTGAGAATGAGCGGCGACAATAAACTAATCTCGATCCTTTTCAGGCTTTTCGACGAAATTGAATGATAACAAACCTATCGTGATCTTTTTTTCCCCCCTGTACAGATTTATTATACAATAAATTTATCATAACCAATCCTTTGGAACGCTCGGAGTTTCGAGGCGAATGAATTTTTCAAGCTTTTTAGTATTTTGTAAGCAAAGTTGGAATTTTAATTCCCGTCGCTTCTTCCGAATTCTTTTGACGTACTCTGTCTGATTTTCGAGAGATTAAAAATTAGGTAGTTTGCGGGATTTGAATTTTTTCAAATGGAATTCCTTTCTCAGGCGGCTCCTTTCTCGGAACGGTTGCAAAGATGATTGAGGATGAAAGAGGATAATATACTTCATAAGAGATCGGAGATGATAACATTATTCACGAGACGAGAATCCCTATTATTAATACCAGTTTGATTAGAGTCTTGTTACAAGTTGCTTATCTTATCATTTTAATCCCGGTACAGTGTTATAATATTATCACAATTTAATGATTACGTTCTTGCAAACATTTTCTCTTGATCTATACTTTAAACAGACCCAACCAGAAATGTAAAAAAAAAAGTGACTAGGCTGTATTTACTTAAGCAAAGTAGCAAAAATGTAATTAGATGGAACCCGATTAACTCCGCGTTGCACAGCTGATATGGTTATCGAACTAAAGCTCTATTTTTGCAGCCACTTGAATTCACGCAGGCAAATTGTTTATTTGAAAACATTTTTTTTATAGCCCTGCGAAAACATCGTTATTGCAAAAATATCGATTTGTAATCTAAATTAATTTTTGATAATTTTTAAACACTTTACGCTTTTCTGCAGTGTTAAATGGTGCGCGGTGTTCGCATTAGCAACATTGTTTCCCTTTGTTTGCTGCAACCTACACGAGTTGCGGTCCAGTTATTTCGTCTATCTATGCCATGAACCGCAATAATATATACGCGCGAGAGAATAATTGTATACAACGATCGCGTATATGAGATAGAAAAAGAGGGGGAAGGCATTTAAAAATGTAGAAAGCAAAAATGCTGCGAGCTAATAGAAAGCGCAGTTCTGTATCAGAGGCATAGAAAACGGATTGTTTTCAATATCATTCTGTAAATTAGAGAGAAATATATTTTTCCATTCTTCTCTCCGACATATATGCCAATACCTTCGTTTTCCCTGCTGGTCGACATTAGTCATTCACTAAAATATTCACAAACTGTTACAGAAAGATGTTCATCGATTTTTAATATGTTTTGCATAGATATTTTCTTGAAATAATGCTCATATTGTTCAGTGACACATCGTCATCTGTTGACTTTTTTAATTAGCAGTATTTTATTAGCTCTGACTTATTTCCATTTTATCGGCGTTTTTCTTTCTTGTTTTTTTTTCCTTTTTTCTTAAGATATAACCTCGAAAATGAATCGACCTAAAACTACTTGGTGAATCTCCTTTTACTTTTCGCCCCGTCGCACCGCATGTATTTTCGCTGTTTGTTACTTTCCCGTATTGCGCAATTCGGTTACATGCGAGTGGAACATAAAACGACAAGTTTCGAAGGACGATGTTTCAGAAATCGAGCCGTGATGATATTCATCAATAGTGCTTGTAATATCATCTTTATTGGGCAACCATGCGATATTGTAAACCGTTCATAGTTCACAGGTTGTATACAGACGGCATCGGTATACTCGAGTCGTGTGTAACAAATAATCGATAACTTATGAATACTATAAGTATATACCTATAATTCAAATAGTATACTTACAGATGTATTTCATAGTTGTATGTATAACATTATAAGTAGAATCTATTAATCTTTTTGAGTTTGACTGGACGAGCTCCAGCTCTCCAGCTGAAAACTTGGATATACTTGAATATATAATTTCAATCTTTAATTTCAAAGGAGATGCTTCACACATTCGTACTCGATGTATTATAAAGTGCGGAAGGTAAAAAGACACACGACGCACACACGCACGCATACATATAAACATATTAAATTAGCATATTAAATTGATACCTTGTTATTCATTTTATATAAGAATTAAGAATGAAAGATAATGCTTCTAGCAAGGTTTTCAAGTTGCAAGGAATGTGAGGCAAATGTAATATTCTTAATAGTGTTTTGAACAAGCTACTTCTTAAGAACTACGTTCATACTTTATGATAATTCATATATAATTAGATATACTGGCATGTATACATAATTAATCGTTAGTTTACGTTTCATTGTAATTATCTTTCGCAGTTTGTATAAAAATTATTCGTGGAATTATTGTGAAGAAATGTACAAATAATAGATTTAATAACTAGATTGGACAGTAAATAGATTGGATTCACTTTCGATTGCGAGATATAAATATACATGCCTTATACATGCCTTGTAAAATTAAAAATAACAGTATATTAAAGGTATCAAACTTTTGAATATTAGACAGCAGTAGTATTCGATAGACATCTAGTCGAATAATCAATTAGTTCTATTCGTCTCGCGTTATTATTTATATACTTGATGTTTCGAAACATTATCGTATCTCTTATTTTAGATTGCTCGTAGATTGCATTGAAATAAATGATCAAGACAAACTCTCTATTCCTCCTGTGCGGAGTCATTGCCTTACCGTATTTTTTTCTTTGTATCAATACTTTCTTTTACGTAGACATCATCCAATTCGTTTGTTTCTAGTAAATATAAACCGAGAGGAAAGTCTCCCATCAGGATCGACTTTCTTTGATGTTTTAGAAAATAACGGAGTCCCTTGGCGATGCCAAAACCAATCATCGCTACAGACATTGTTAATAACGCCATCAACAAAGGATGCTATATGGTAAAATAGAAAAATTATATAATTATATTGTGTATTGTATTATAGCAATGATAAAAATAATTTATTTACGAACGTTATCCTTTCGATAGCAATTTAAAAATATAACTATGGATCAATACCGTCAGAGTGGGCTTGTTTGTAAAAACATAGTCGGCGATCACAACTGTGACTCCTAATATAATACCGACGCCAGCTCCAAGCCATGGAATCTGTTGATCAGCTGTGAAACAGTACTTCGTTACGTTTCAGTTTTCATAGTTCCAAGATAACTACCAAGTACCTCTTCTGTCTTTAATCAATGACCTGGACGCTTTGTTCATCGCTTCCAAAATCTTAGGTTCGTTCGGTTGCAAGGACAGGGCTTTATTGTAAGATTCAAGCGCTTCGTTGTAGGAAGATAATTTCAGCTCAACCTCACCTTTCCTGAAGTAACCCTGAAACATTTGTCAGCGTATTAATCTCTTACGCTTTAAAATTTGAATCTAAAGAAATTAATTTTTCAGATTCAATAAATTCTCCTCGGATGATTTATATGCATTTCTAGCAATAAAGATTAATTTGAATTTTAGTTTAATTTCCTCTTTATCTTTTTTTTAATTTGTAAAATTAAAAAGGATAGGAAGTAAATTAAACCGAGATTGGAGTAATCTATATTGATAAAAATAGTCGTTAGCTAACCTTGGAGTTCAAAAATAATAAGCCAATTAAAAATAAAGTAAAAACAAATTAAAGTACATATAATGAATAGACAATTGAGATATAAATTCTAAATAAAAGAAATCTATCTCATTTCATACCTTCGTATTAATTGTTAAATTTATATCTATTTTTACCAATACGTAATAACTTTAAAATTTCAATTTAATATCCTCTTTATTTTTTTTAATATAACTAAAAAATTAACGAATAACTAAAAATAAAAAATTGATTAAATCAAGATTGAAGTGAATCTACATCGATAAAAATTAAGGTTTTTTTTTTTTTTTTTTTTTAGCTTAAACTT